GTCAGTACTGGGCCCAGACGAGAGAGGATATCACAGTGGAGTGCCCCAAGGGTCGGTACTGGGGCCAGACGAGAGAGGATATCACAGTGGAGTGCCCCAAGGGTCGGTACTGGGCCCAGACGAGAGAGGATATCACAGTAGACTGCCCCAAGGGTCAGTACTAAGAGCCGTCCTGTCAAGCTGTGACACGACTGGTGCTTGGGCATGGTAAGGAAAAGTCTCTTACTGGAAGCCACTCAGTATGAGAACAAAAGAAACGTTACAAGTATTTACAACCTGAGGAACAAACGACGGAGTCCTAGCGAAACTTGAAGCACTTATCTGCCATGTTTATAAGCCAGGAATAAGTGCAACAAAACTTGTAGATCTTCATTGATATTTATTTTCAAAGACTCAGATTGTCTGGGAAAAGCTCCCGCCTACAATAAGTGCACTGGCACCTGCACTTAGAAGAGTGACCTACTTTCTTTCTTTTTTCCTACTACGTGATCTACTTTCTACCTGCACTTAGAAGAGTGACTTTCACCCTATGCCCCTGTTACCTAGCAGTAAAATAGGTACCTGGGTGTTAGTCAGCTGTCACGGGCTGCTTCCTGGGGGTGGAGACCTGGTCGAGGACCGGGCCGCGGGGACACTAAAAAAAAGCCCCGAAATTATCTCTAAGATAACCTCAAGATAACCTCTGCAGCACTCACACTACAGCCACACCAGACACAGACACCCACTAGACAGTGAGAGAGATGATGACCTCACACATCATTAGTAACAAACATTATTGACAATTTTCAGAATCTGTTATCAATGAGTCAGTTTATCAGTATAAGTGAACTCTATTAGTATTAAAGTGGCATGATAAACATAATTTCCTTGTAGAATTCAAGTATAGAAATAAAGAAAAGGCATTTATAAAAACCCATTATCTCAGAAGGCGCAAATTATATGCACAAATTGGTAAGAGACCTTTTTTATACACAAAATTTCCTATAAAATGAGATATATTACAATAAAACAGTACAAAATAAAAATATATATGGAAGGCCTGGTCGACGACCGGGCCGCGGGGTCACTGAGCCCCGGAATCACACCAAGGTAACCAAGGTAACCAAGGTAGGCCGCCATCTTGATGACGTATTCATAATTATACACAACAGAACCTGGAATGCCACCAAAGGAATTATTCACTTCACGTACTTTAAAACTGAAGAAGAAAAATCAATTTCATCACAAATTCTGGCAGGGAATTACATGTGCTCGGCTATTATGACTCAGACTCCAGTGGAGCCGATATGTAAATAACCTGCCTTGTGAGGGCGGTGAGGTGTGAGGAAAGGAAGAATGAAGAATAAAGATTTTTGGGACAGATCTTCTCATATGTTGTCACGTCTTTTAAAGATATTTTTTTGTCTTTTAGTTACTATTGTTTACAGGCTTGAGATTGCTTCACGGCGGAATATTTCCGCCGGAAAAAGGTAAAGAGAAGAAGTGGGATTTCATTCGAGGCCATTTTTCTGTTTCTATCCAAGCCTGCGTTAATTAAACCCGGGTCGTGTCGTTGTGAAGGCTCGACCTTAGAGCAGAGTTTTGTGTCCGCAGGCTCTGCTTGTTCCTTGTTGGACTCTCACACGCGCGCGCGCACACACTCACACAACCAGGCACCACTGGAGAAGTTAGAGACTACGAGTGGAAGGTTAGGAAGCACTTGCTTGAGTTGGATGTGACAAAGACTATAGACCCATACGAAATCTCACCATGGATATCAAAACATGGAGCTGAAGTACTGTGCCTACCATTCTCAATAGTATTTAACAAATCACAGGTAACGAGAAAACTGCCAAAAATTTGGAAGACGGCTAATGAAGTCCCGATATACAAGAAGAGTGACATACAGGAGGCATTGACGTACAGGCCAAAGTCCCTAACTTGCATACAATGCAAGATGATGGAGAAGATTGTAGGGAGAAAAACTAGTAGAACATTTGGAGCGAAAGAACTTTGTAACACATCATCAGCATGAGTCCAAGGACGGCATTATCTTGTCTCACAGGATTAACTGAATTCTACGACCAGGCGACTAAAATCAGGCAAAAAGAGAAGGGTGGACAGACCGCATATTTTGGGATTGCCAGAATGCTTTTGACATAGTACTCCATACGAGACTAAAGCATAAGATGGAGATGCAGAGCAGGGAAGGTACTCCTTTGGATAAGGGAGTACCTAAGCAACTGAAGACAACGAGTCTCTGTGAAGGAAGAGGTCTCGGTGTGGCGAGACGTCACTAGTGGAGTCCCACACGGTTCAGTCCACGTACCAATCCTGTTTCTGATATATGCAAATGATCTCACAGAGGGGATAGACTCATTCCTCTCAATGTTTGCTGATGATGCTAAAATTATGAGAAGGATTAAGACAGAGGAGGACAGCAAGAGGCTACAGGATAACCTGGACAGACTGAAGGAATTATTCAACAAATGGCTACTTGAGGTTAACTCGAACAAGTGCAAAGTGATGAAGATAGGCGTAGGGAGCAGGAGGCCAAGCACAAGGTAACAGCTGGGAGAGGAAATCCTTCAGGAGTCAGGACGAGAGAAAGATCTGAGGGTTGATATCACACCAGACCTATCCCCCTGAAGCCCACATCAAAAGGATAACATCAGCGGCGTATGCAAGGCTGGCGAACATATGAACTACCTTCAGAAACGTGTGTAAGGAATCATTCAGAACCCTGTATACCTCATATGTCAGCCCAATACTGGAATATGCGGCTCCAGCCTGGAGTCCACATCTAGTCAAACACAAAACGACGTTAGAAAAAGTTTAGAGGTATGCCACCAGGCTAGTTCCCGAGCTGAGAGAAATGGGCGTTGAGGAAAGATTACTGGAACTGAACCTGACGACACTGGAAGACGGAAGATTTAGGAGAGACATGATCACTACCTACAAACTTCTCAGAAGAAATGACAGGGAAGATAAACTGTTTATCACGGATGGAACACGAACAAGGGAACACAGGTGGAAACTGAGCACCTAAATGAGTCACAGGGACGTTAGAAAGAACTTTTTCAGTGTCAGAGTAGTTAACAGATGGAATGCATTAATCAGTGATGTGGTGGAGGCTGACTCCATACACAGTTTCAAATGAAGATATGATAGAGCCCAGTAGGCTCAGGAATCTGTACACCAGTTAATTTACAGTTGAGAGGCGGGACCAAAGAACCAAAGCTCAACCCCCGCAAGCACAACTAGGGGAGTACACACACAGCCACGTCAACAAGAACACACAGAGGTTCTCCCCCAAACAAACAAGTTCAACAAAGGACAACAGGTGACCATCGCTGTATCTCAAAGCCCCAAGAGGTGACAAGAAGAGCGGGAAGCGCAGCTCGACAAACTTCACCGAGTTGAAAGTTTTTGCTCGTTTCCCTGTCGCTACAACGATGACATCTGCTCAAGTGCAAGGAAAGTTCTTATTTACGAACGTGACTAGTGACTGAGGTGAAAAAAATGTGATTTAAAAAACAGACAGACGATGCAAGCAGAAGGTCGGACATACAGACAGATAATACAAACAGGCAGACGATGCAAGCAGAGGGTCGGACATACAGACAGATAATACAAACAGGCAGACGATGCAAGCAGAGGGTCGGACAGACGATGCGATCATAGAGAGCTATGCAGACAGGCAGGTTGAGCAGGCACTAGCAAACAGCAGACACAGAGACGATCATACAGAGACAAGAGGACTAACAGACGGACATTCAGAAAAACAGGCGGACTGACAACCAAACAGACAGGACAGACAGGTAAAGCGGCAAATAGAAACACGGGTTAACAAACAGGCATGACAGAGGAACATCATTCTCACTTGCCTCAACTTACACAATATAAACCACACAGCAACTTTACATTGGGCTCTAATGTATTCACACATTTAGTCTTACTTCTCGGCCTTAAGCAGCTAAGAGGTGTTGCCACCGCGTATAACCTTAATTTCCTATTTAGACACAGTACAGGACCCAGTATTGTAGTGCTGTGCTCGAGATCTGCTTTATAACTTGAATGGTAATGGATGTTTTTACTGTTAAAACCCCCGAATTAAATTATATTTTAACTGTATCAGTGAGTCTGTGGATCTGTTAATATATCAAGCTATAATATGTTAATATGTAAGCAGTCTCCGTGGTGTAGTGGTAAGACACTCGCCTGGCGTTCCGCGAGCGCTGTCATGGGTTCGTATCCTGGCCGGAGAGGATTTACTGGGCGCAATTCCTTAACTGTAGCCTCTGTTTAACGCAACAGTAAAATGTGTACTTGCATGAAAAAACGATTCTTCGCGGCAGGGGATCGTATTCCAGGGACCATAGGATTAAGGACTTGCCCGAAACGCTACGCGTACTAGTGGCTGTACAAGAATGTAACAACTCTTGTATATATCTCAAAAAAAAAAAGTTGTTGGTCTGTGAGTGTTAAACCTGTGGGGTCTGTGAATCTATTAGTTTTAGATTCTGTGAGTATTTTTTTCTGGTGCTATCGCTCTAGCGCCTGAACGGATTTGCCGATTTGGATGACGATTAATGTTTTGGCGATAATTACTAACTGGTATATACTGGGCTGACGGTAATGGAAGAGCACTGAGGGCTTATTATCATCTGATCCGGATTCCCCATCTGATACTGTATAACATTCCCTGGAATGTGTGTGTGTTAAGAGGCTGGAGAACTGGTCACGCTCTGACCAGAACTGCTTAAGTGAACACAAATGCTCATGGTTCCTTCAGTATCAATTAAAATTGGATTCTGAAGCAAATTTAAAAGAGGGGGAGAGAAATTTTATGTTTTGTAATATGAAAGTTGCTTTCAAGACGTTTAGTGGAATTTTGCCATGAACAAAACTTTCTGTGTCTCGAGAAGATCTTATTGTTTGAACTTATCAAAACTCGTCAGTTTAGGAAAAGTTTCGATTAGATCTATCCGTAATCTATACTTTTTATAAAAAAAATAAGTTTAGATTTTTAATATATAATGAGGTCTCTGGTGATTTATAATGAGAGTGCCCTTCACAGTGCTAGTGCCCTTCACAGTGCTAGTGCCCTTCACAGTGCTAGTACCCTTCACAGTGCTAGTACCCTTCACAGTGCTAGTGCCCTTCACAGTGCTAGTACCCTTCACAGTGCTAGTACCCCTCACAGTGCTAGTACCCCTCACAGTGCTAGTACCCCTCACAGTGCTAGTACCCTTCACAGTGCTAGTACCCTTCACAGTGCTAGTACCCTTCACAGTGCTAGTACCCTTCACAGTGCTAGTACCCTTCACAGTGCTAGTACCTTTCACAGTGCTAGTACCCTTCACAGTGCTAGTACCCTTCACAGTGCTAGTGCCCTTCACAGTGCTAGTACCCTTCACAGTGCTAGTACCTTTCACAGTGCTAGTATCCTTCACAGTGCTAGTACCCTTCACAGTGCTAGTACCCTTCACAGTGCTAGTACCCCTCACAGTGCTAGTACCCCTCACAGTGCTAGTACCCCTCACAGTGCTAGTACCCCTCACAGTGCTAGTACCCTTCACAGTGCTAGTACCCTTCACAGTGCTAGTACCCCTCACAGTGCTAGTACCCCTCACAGTGCTAGTACCCTTCACAGTGCTAGTACCCTTCACAGTGCTAGTACCCTTCACAGTGCTAGTACCCCTCATAGTGCTAGTACCCTTCACAGTGCTAGTACCCCTCACAGTGCTAGTACCCTTCACAGTGCTAGTACCCCTCACAGTGCTAGTACCCCTCATAGTGCTAGTACCCTTCACAGTGCTAGTACCCCTCACAGTGCTAGTACCCCTCACAGTGCTAGTACCCCTCATAGTGCTAGTACCCCTCACAGTGCTAGTACCCCTCACAGTGCTAGTACCCCTCACAGTGCTAGTACCCTTCACAGTGCTAGTACCCCTCACAGTGCTAGTACCCCTCACAGTGCTAGTTCCCTTCACAGTGCTAGTACCCCTCACAGTGCTAGTACCCCTCACAGTGCTAGTACCCCTCACAGTGCTAGTACCCTTCACAGTGCTAGTACCCCTCACAGTGCTAGTACCCTTCACAGTGCTAGTACCCCTCACAGTGCTAGTACCCCTCATAGTGCTAGTACCCTTCACAGTGCTTGTACCTCACAGCGTCCGCTTCACCCATTACTAACAACAATTGTCGCAATTACAAAATAAATACAATTCAAAATGACTGTCAAAGTTCACAGAACAGAATTCAATTACACGTTACAAACTCACCTGTCTCCTTGCTTGCAGAACGCAAGTGCACTTTACCTGTCACCTGTTTTATTCCCCCAACTTATCATGAGAGGATCAAGGTGTAAACTCTCAATAATTCATGAAATAATTTACTTTTGACGGCAAATCTCACTGAATCCCCATTACACCGTAGAGCGCCCACATTGTTTGCATGCGAGGATTATTGCATGAACTGGAAGTAATTCTCAGACTACCAAGAAAATCGGATTATAGTTGAGAGTTTATTATTTGAAGAAGAAATTCGTGTGTGTTTTTTTCGTGTTTTTTTTTTTTTTTTTGAGAGGTTCGCTACGGAGATGTTGTGCCTAGTGTAGTTATACCTGTAGACTCTCCGTTCTCTGTCATAATGAACCTAACACAGTGCAGGATGGCTGGCGCCTCCGTCTCTAGTTCTAGAACATACTAGATCAACAAAGATTTAGTTAATTTATTCTAATTATTTTAAATTTCTACTGTCTTTGGTGCCTGTCCTGTCGTATATATTTTGAACCTTCTCAATTGTCTTCATTTGCGTTATCGTGTTCGACGCAGGCGATGTATACTATACAACTGGTCTAACGTACGCCGTGTACAATATTCTGAAGGATTTGTTAAAGTTGGTTTTGCAAACCAACTTTATGTTGACGGGTTAGGTCCATGTAGCCGATGTTAGTGTGGTAATGTGAGTCTGGTGTTACGTCCACTTCCACCTCCCAAGCTCTCTTTGGTTCCTGTAACTGTCACCCAATATATTGCTTCACCCTGAGGTACAGTGTGTGTGTGTGGGGAGGTACAGTGTGTGTGTGTGTGGGGAGGTACAGTGTGTGTGTGTGTGGGGAGGTACAGTGTGTGTGTGTGTGGGGAGGTACAGTGTGTGTGTGTGGGGAGGTACAGTGTGTGTGTGTGTGGGGAGGTACAGTGTGTGTGTGTGTGGGGAGGTACAGTGTGTGTGTGTGTGGGGAGGTACAGTGTGTGTGTGTGTGTGGGGTGTGTGGGGAGGTACAGTGTGTGTGTGTGGGGGAGGTACAGTGTGTGTGTGTGGGGAGGTACAGTGTGTGTGTGTGTGGGGAGGTACAGTGTGTGTGTGTGGGGAGGTACAGTGTGTGTGTGTGGGGAGGTACAGTGTGTGTGTGTGGGGAGGTACAGTGTGTGTGTGTGGGGAGGTACAGTGTGTGTGTGTTGGGAGGTACAGTGTGTGTGTGTGGGGAGGTACAGTGTGTGTGTGGGGAGGTACAGTGTGTGTGTGTGTGGGGAGGTACAGTGTGTGTGTGTGGAGAGGTACAGTGTGTGTGTGTGTGGGGAGGTACAGTGTGTGTGTGGGGAGGTACAGTGTGTGTGTGGGGAGGTACAGTGTGTGTGTGGGGAGGTACAGTGTGTGTGTGGGGAGGTACAGTGTGTGTGTGTGTGGGGAGGTACAGTGTGTGTGTGGGGAGGTACAGTTTGTGTGTGTGGGGAGGTACAGTGTGCGTGGAGGTACAGTTTGTGTGTGTGGGGAGGTACAGTGTGCGTGGAGGTTCAGTTTGTGTGTGTGGGGAGGTACAGTGTGCGTGGAGGTACAGTTTGTGTGTGTGGGGAGGTACAGTGTGCGTGGAGGTTCAGTTTGTGTGTGTGGGGAGGTACAGTGTGCGTGGAGGTTCAGTTTGTGTGTGTGGGGAGGTACAGTGTGCGTGGAGGTTCAGTTTGTGTGTGTGGGGAGGTACAGTGTGCGTGGAGGTTCAGTTTGTGTGTGTGGGGAGGTACAGTGTGCGTGGAGGTACAGTTTGTGTGTGTGGGGAGGTACAGTGTGCGTGGAGGTTCAGTTTGTGTGTGTGGGGAGGTACAGTGTGCGTGGAGGTTCAGTTTGTGTGTGTGGGGAGGTACAGTGTGCGTGGAGGTACAGTTTGTGTGTGTGGGGAGGTACAGTGTGCGTGGAGGTACAGTTTGTGTGTGTGGGGAGGTACAGTGTGCGTGGAGGTACAGTTTGTGTGTGTGGGGAGGTACAGTGTGTGGGGAGGTACAGTGTGCGTGGAGGTACAGTGTGTGTGAGGGGAGGTACAGTGTGTGGGGGAGGTACAGTATGTGGGGAGGTACAGTGTGTGGGGAGGTACTGTGTGTGGGGAGGTACAGTGTGCGTGGAGGTACAGTTTGTGTGTGTGGGGAGGTACAGTGTGTGTGTGGGGAGGTACAGTGTGCGTGGCGGTACAGTGTGTGTGTATGGGGAGGTACAGTGTGCGTGTGGGGAGGTACAGTGTGTGTGTGTGTGTGGGGAGGTACAGTGTGCGTGGAGGTACAGTTTGCGTGTGGGGAGGTACAGTGTGCGTGGAGGTACAGTTTGTGTGTGTGGGGAGGTACAGTGTGCGTGGAGGAACAGTTTGTGTGTGTGGGGAGGTACAGTGTGCGTGGAGGTACAGTGTGTGTGTGTGGGGAGGTACAGTGTGCGTGGAGGTACAGTGTAATCACTTAGTTGTGCTAGCGGGGGTTGAGCTCAGCTCTTTCGGCCCGCCTCTCAACTGTCAATCAACTGTTTCTACTACTACTATTTTTTCCCACACCCCACATACACACACCCAGCAAGCAGCCCGTGACAGCTGACTAACTCCCAGGTACCTATTTACTGCTAGGTAACAGGGGCATAGGGTGAAAGAAATTCAGCCCATCGTTTCTCGTCGGCGCCCGGGATCGAACCCAGGACCACAGGATCACGTGTACAGCGTGCTGTCCGCTCGGCCGGCCGACTCCCCAGTGTATGTGTGTATGTGTGTGTGTGTGTGTGTGTGTGTGTGTGTGTGTGTGTGTGTGTGTGTGTGTGTGTGTGTGTGTGTGTGTGTGTGTGAGTCGAGGCACAGTGTGAGTGGAGGCACAGAGTGTGGAGGCACAGAGTGTGGAGGTACAGTGTGTGGAGGCACAGAGTGTGGAGGTACAGTGTGTGGAGGTACAGTGTGTGGAGGTACAGTGTGTGAAGGTACAGAGTGTGGAAGTAGAGTGTGTGGAAGTACAGTGTGTGGAGGTACAGTGTGTGGAGGTACAGAGTGTGGAGGTACAGTGTGTGGAAGTACAGTGTGTGGAGGTACAGTGTGTGGAAGTACGCTGTGTGGAGGTACAGAGTGTGGAGGCACAGTGTGTGGAGGAACAGAGTGAGGAGGTACAGATTGTGTGGAGGTACAGTGAGTGGAGGTACAGAGTGTGGAGGTACAGTGTGTGAAGGTACAGTGTGTGGAGGCACAGAGTGTGGAGGTACAGTGGAGGCACAGAGTGTGAAGGCACAGAGTGTGGAGGTACCGTGTGTGGAGGTACAGAGTGTGGAGGTACAGTGTGTGGAGGTACAGAGTGTGGAGGCACAGAGTGTGGAGGCACAGAGTGTGGAGGTACAGTGTGTGGAGGTACAGAGTATGGAGGTACAGAGTGTGGAGGTACAGAGTGTGGAGGTACAGAGTGTGGAGGTACAGTGTGTGGAGTCACAGAGTGTGGTGGTACAGAGTGTGGAGGTACAGAGTGTGGAGGTACAGAGTGTGGAGGTACAGAGTGTGGAGGTACAGTGTGTGAAGGCACAGAGTGTGGAGGTACAGAGTGTGGAGGTACAGAGTGTGGAGGTACAGAGTGTGGAGGCACAGAGTGTGGAGGCACAGAGTGTGGAGGTACAGAGTGTGGAGGCACAGAGTGTGGAGGTACAGTGTGTGGAGGCACAGAGTGTGGAGGTACAGAGTGTGGAGGTACAGAGTGTGGAGGTACAGTGTGTGGAGGCACAGAGTGTGGAGGTACAGAGTGTGGAGGTACAGAGTGTGGTGGTACAGAGTGTGGAGGTACAGAGTGTGGAGGCACAGAGTGTGGAGGTACAGAGTGTGGAGGTACAGAGTGTGGAGGTACAGTGTGTGGAGGCACAGAGTGTGGAGGCACAGAGTGTGGAGGCACAGAGTGTGAAGGCCCAGAGTGTGGAGGTACAGAGTGTGGAGGTACAGAGTGTGGAGGTACAGAGTGTGGAGGTACAGAGTGTGGAGGCACAGAGTGTGGAGGCACAGAGTGTGGAGGTACAGTGTGTGGAGGTACAGTGTGTGGAGGCACAGAGTGTGGAGGTACAGTGTATGGAGGCACAGTGTGTGGAGGTACAGTGTGTGGAGGTACAGAGTGTGGAGGCACAGTGTGTGGAGGCACAGAGTGTGGAGGTACAGTGTGTGGAGGCACAGAGTGTGGAGGTACAGTGTTTGGAGGCACAGAGTGTGGAGGTACAGAGTGTGGAGGTACAGTGTGTGGAGGTACAGTGTGTGGAGGCACAGAGTGTGGAGGTACAGAGTGTGGAGGTACAGAGTGTGGAGGTACAGTGTGTGGAGGCACAGAGTGTACAGAGTGTGGAGGTACAGTGGAGGTACAGTGTGTGTGTGGAGGTACAGTGTGTGGAGGTACAGAGTGTGGAGGCACAGAGTGTACAGAGTGTGGAGGTACAGTGTGTGTGGAGGTACAGTGTGTGGAGGTACAGTATGTGGAGGTATAGAGTGTGGAGGCACAGAGTGTACAGAGTGTGGAGGTACAGAGTGTGG